GAAGCATCTGAAGATAGTCAGAAGCATCTGAAGCTGAAGCATCAGAATTATAGAAGAATATTGATTGAAGAGTTTCTCAAAGCATTAGTCTACAGAAGTTTCTGAAAGTACCTACACTGCCAAGTACTGAAGTTCTGTGTCAAAATGCTCTGATAATCAACACGCTAGAAGCACACACGCTGCAGAAGACTCTGATACATCATAGTTCTGAATCTCATTAGAAGACTCTGATCCATTCAGACTCTGAAGAACTTGCTAAAACTGAAGAAGTATTTTCAAGAATATATCCGTTGGAATTATTCAACGTCTCTTTCCTTATTTGTGCTAGACGCACTTACACAGACAAAAAGGATTTTTCTGTGCCATCTATTTCAAGGAAAGGTCAGTTGATGTGAAGACAAAAAGGCTCAGACCTTTTTGGGACTCTCTTTTCAAAGTTCAGCTTGCATGATTCAGCTGCCTATAAAAGGAGATCTTCACTTCATTCTTTAGTGCTACACACTTGCTGAAAAGAAATCATAATATTCTAAAAGCTTTCATTCTTATTCTTCATAGAATCTTATTGTACTTAAACTTAAGAGAAAAATCACTGTTGTGATTATAGCTTTATAGAAGCATTAAAAACTCTTGTATTTAATTTACATTGATTGTAAAGGATATTCCTTAAGAGGATTCAGTGAGAATCAGTAGCTCTTGAGAAGACTAAGAACTGTTGTTCTTAGGTGATACTATTGTAATCAGTTTGATTTAATAGTGGATTAAGTCCTTGTTGAGAAAGGCAAATCACTCTGGAAGGGTGGACTGGAGTAGTTGTTAAACGAACCAGGATAAAAATAATTGTGTGATTATTTTCAAGTCTTAATTTTCCATACTTATTCAATCCCCCCTTTCTAAGTATTATCTTACCTTCATGATATTCTCAATTCTCTTCCAATTCTTGATGGAAAAAATTGGATTCGATGGAGAAAACAGATGCAATCAATGTTTGGTTTTCATGAAAACCTAGAAGTGGTTACTAATGGCGTTCCTGAGTTTGCTAACAATGTAAGCAATGCTCAAAGAATCATTCACAGGGATGTCAAGAAGAAAGATTGCAAGGTTGCGTTTTGTATTCAATCTACAGTAGATACGGTAAATTTTGATCGAATTTCTCATACAGAATCGACGAAGAAAGTATGAGATATTTTTGTCAAGTATTATGAAGTTGATGAGAAGGTTAAAGTTGTCAAGTTGCAGACACTACAAACGCAATATGAGTCACTGCAGATAGGAGAAGATGAAAAGATTGTAGGCTATGTCTCGAAGGTGCATAATCTTATTCATCTCATGAAAGATTGTAGTGAAGTCCTAAATAATAAGATGATAGTTGAGAAAGTAATTCATACATTGACCTCTCTGTTTGATCACATTATCATAGCCATTCAAGAATCCAACATTCTTGAAACCTTGAAATTGAAAGTTTTGATTGATTCGTTGGAGGCACATAAGTTAAGCATTGCCAAGAGGAAGAGGGTTCAAGATTCGATACAAGCACTGCAAGCCCAGACATGGAAGAAACATGTTGGTTCCAACAAGTTTAAGAGAAAAGGAGATAAGACTCAAAGTAAGAAGTATTGGGTGAACCTTCAAAAGCATAAGGTTGATGATAGGACTTATGAATCCTCGAAAAGACAAGAAGGAACCTCATATCAGAAAGACAAACAAGATAAGAAAAGCGTGTAGTAAAATAACTGTGAAAAGTGGGGTCATTTGGCCAAGAATTGTTGGTACAAGAAAGATAAGGGAGCGGAAAAAAGAAAGGATGATGAAGGAGAAAACCTTGCACAACAAGATTCAGAGGATTCTAAAGGTATGATGCTTATGGTTGCAGTCGCAGATGAGCATGTCAACTCCAAAATCTAGTTTCTCGATATGGGTTGCCTGAATCATATGACTGGTCAAAGAGTATGGTTAATAGATTTCGACGAGTTAAAGAAGAGCAAGGTCAGACTTACAAATAATAGCTCGTTGCAAGTAAAGGATACAAGTAACATAGTTATTCAAAGGTGTATTGGAGCAAAATGTATGATCAAAGATATACTATATGTATCAGGAATGAAGTGTAGTCTGCTAAGTGTTGGACAATTAGCCGAAAAAGTTTTCTTAGTAGTTATGAAAAATGGAGCCTTAGAATTGTTCGACACCTAGAATAATTTGGTCTTAAAATCTCCTATGTCAAAGAATAAGACATTTCAGACAATGATCAGTTTGACTGAGGCACAGTGTCTAAAAACAGTTGTCGACCATAAGCATAACTGTTTGTGGCATTTGAGGTTTGGCCATTTGAACTATAGATCACTCAATCAACTGATTACTCAAGATATGGTAACTGGTATACCAAGTCTTATGATGCCCAACAAACTCTGTGATGGTTGCTTAGTAGGGAAGCAATCAATAAAGTATTTCGTCTCGAGTATGCCAATGAGATACTCCAGCATACTAGAAGTAATATATTCATATGTATGTGGTCCATTTGAGGATCATACCATTTGTGGAAACAATTATTTTTTCTCGTTTGTCGATGAGTATAGTTGAAAGCTTTGGATCTACATGATTAGGCACAAAAGAACAAGTAATTTCAATCTTTAAGGGATTCAAAACACTTGTTGAAAACTAGAGTGAAAAGAAGATCAAAGTTTTGAGGACAGATAGATGTGGCGAATACACACCCAAGTTATTTGAAGAGTTATGTATAGAACACTATATCAATCATAAGGTAACTGATACTTACACGCCTCAACATAATGGAATATCAGAAAGAAGAACGAGTCAACATTGTTGTTTATATTTTGAACAAGTGCCTTGTAATACTCAAGAATTTAATTAATTTTTAAAATCAAATTATCTGTATTTTGTTTAACTACTTGGCATTTAGTTTGCTTTTGATTAAATATGTATAGTGAGCTGTATGTGTATGAGGGGCATTGGCGGGGGCTAGTGATAACATTGGTGGGATGGTAGAAGAATTAAAATAATAAAAAAAAATAGAATAGATTATTGTTTTTAATTAATTGAAATAAATAAGAAATAGTGAGAATTAGTGGAGTTAGTACTGAATTGACATAAAGATAAATAGAGGAAATAAGGTAATAAAAGAGATAATATGAAGGGAGGAAAATATAATTATTAAGGAATTGGAATAATTAGGTTTTTAGAATAAAAGATGTTAGGTCTAGAGCAGTATGTGAAAAAAATATTCTTTTAGAGAAAAAGTAAGAATAAGGCTAGGGCTTGAAAGAGGAAGATCTCTAATCACAAACCTTGATCAATTCCAAACTAAAATTTCATAACATTTTACTAAAATAACATGTTATTTATCATAATAAAATTTTACATCAATAGAATTTTAAATTTAATGACATTAATTAAAATTTTGATACATTCTTTGATTCAAATAAAAAACATTAAACAAAAATAATGAATAATAAAGTAAGTATTTCTCTTTACATTAATTGAATATATTGTATATATTCATGTGTACAAAGTGTGTCCCTTGATCCAATTGTCCAAGATACTTAATCTAATTGTGAACCACCGTTACCCTAACAATCCCAAATAATGTCTTAAGAGAAACAAATTGGAAGGATGATCTTCAGGTTGACGCATTAAGTTAGAAACATTTTGTATAGAGTTATTCATTTTCATGTATTCAACACCACAATGCTCAAGAGTAATACTCCTTTCATTTTTATGTATAAGTAAATTTTAACATTTTAAATTTATTAAATAATTAATGCATCTAACTTATATATAGTCTAAATATATTATTTATTGAATGAATTTAAAAAGTTAAAATTTACTTATAAAAGATAATGGATAATGGAGAGAGTAGATTGAAAAAATGATCTTCACAAATACTCTAAACACACCATAAGTAAATTATATGGCAATCTTCCATGAACACAGTTGTTCAATTAAGAATAGTTTCACATTAATTCTAACTATTTAATCAAATAAGTGACCTAATAAAAAAATATTAACAAACCACAAAATTCTAAAACAGAAAAACTGAATATATATACAAAAATAATGATTCTTTCACCGTAACCTCAAAATAAAACAGAAAAACTTTAATTAAAATTATAAAAGTTGAATTAATTTATACCTTGAGACATGTCAAAATCTCAAGAACTTTATCCTCTTGTATCCCAAACTTTTGAAACATATACTCTTCAAAACTAAATTCATAAAAATTGAATAAATAAATTTTATAAAATTGAATCCAAGTGTAATCACATATATTATGATTTCAAAAATCTTAAATTTTTTTTTCAGTCATAAAATCTAAAATCTACAACTAAAAGAGTAAAGAGTATAATCTAAATCTACAAATATCAAAGTTAAAACTTCATAAGTTTTTTGAATAGGTTAGATCTTCCTAAACTTGCAGACCAAAAACAAAAGTGTATAAAGTAATTTTAAAGTTGGATCTTCATAAATTTCTTGAGGTGGAAAGACATTGTTGAAAATGATGGGGCCGAAGAAAAAACGGATTAGAGATTGAAAAACCTGTTTGAAGGAGATAAATTTGTGAAAAAAATTGGAGAGTACGGTGATGAAAGATTGATGGTGAAAATACTATATTTTTATATACAATGATGATGAAAATCAAAATAGAGAAAGAAGGAGAAGAGAGAAATAAAGAGAGGTGTATATCAGCTAGGGCTGAAGTGCAACATTTATACAACAACATTGTTAAAATTTAACAGAAATGATCCATATAAATTTAAGAAACTTAAGACAAAGGTTTAATACATAAAAAAAAACTAAAGGAAACATCATATTAAATTAAAGGAGCAAAGAAAGCCTTAAGCCATATTAATAAACATATATCCTATCGCCTCAAATCCTACTGGTGGGTTGGCTTCCGATGAGCTGACCAGGAGTCTAAATTCAATGAATAAAACCAAGGCTTAGTAATATCTATCCAAAACACAATAAAGTGAAAAAAATATAAGAAAATGAAAGCTTTCGCAATATCGTCATCACTATTGGGATTGAAATCATTCAACTTCACCCACACTCGAAACCGAATCTCCAACCCCTTTCTCTCCAACACTCTCCCCTTACTATTTCCCAACCGCCAATTCCACTCCCGCCCTTCTCCGATCATGGCTTCTGCTCCATTATCATCCATCCATTCCGAACTAGCACGTTCCCCACCCGCCATTCCCATGCCCACTCCACCTCTCACCAAGTTCAACATTGGTCTTTGCCAACTCTCAGTAACCTCCGATAAAGACCGAAACATCGCTCACGCTCGCTCTGCTATTCAAGACGCAGCTGCAAAGGGGGCGAAGCTTGTTCTCTTACCTGTAAGCTTTGTTGTTTTAATTATCCTGTTTACGAAATTTTGATTGTTTTAAATTTAATTGATGTTTGGAATTTGGTATTTGTTAGGAAATTTGGAATAGTCCTTATGCAAATGAGAGTTTTCCTGTTTATGCGGAGGATATTGATGCGGGTGGTGATGCTTCTCCTTCTACTGCTATGTTGTCTGAACTTGCTCGTTTGCTGAAAATTACTATCGTTGGTGGTTCTATTCCTGAACGCTCTGGAGATCGCGTGTATAATACCTGCTGTGTGTTTGGTACTGATGGAAAGCTCTTGGCAAAGCACCGGAAGGTAGTGGTTGTTGTTTGTCTTTCATGGAAATTTAGTGTCAGTTTTCCATGATCAAAGTGTGGAAGAAAATTTATTGTTCTTCTGTTTGCCTAAATGATTCATTAGCCAAATGTCAAATTTAGGGGAGCCTGTTTAGGCCTGCCCCGTAAAAGCATGAAAAAAAACTGACAGAATTTGGATTGTGAGTCATAAGTGAATCAGTATTAGTATTTTCTGCTTTATTATGTAATTTCTGATGTGTTGGTGGTGTCTCTACAGATACATCTGTTTGATATTGACATCCCTGGGAAGATTACCTTTATTGAATCATTGACTCTCACTGCCGGGGAGACTCCAACAGTTGTTGACACAGGTCTAACATGTACTTTCAACACAAAGTTAGCCATATGTTTCCCAGTTCTACATGTTTCTGTATAGATGCACTCTTTTGTTTCGTCGCGGTGTTTGAAATCATGTAAATGAGTAATGTATATTCAAACTACAGAAAGAAAATGATACTGATATTGAATGGCTGCAAATAACAATGAAGAGATGAAAACAAAAGCTGCTTTGTCATTATGGCTGTACTGTTGAATTAACCTTTTGATCTTAATGTTTAGCTTCTTACACTCTTCCATAGGTCATGTTAATCTGGATGACATTAACTTAAGCGCAGTTAGTAGTTGAATTTCTCTATGGGGAACAATTTTGTTGAAAACTATGTCTCTGTTGATTTTGATGATTATGTTCACTTATTTGGACTGTGTTTTATATAGTTTTGGGTAGGAACGTTTATGAAGAAATTTGTTTGTAGAAGAGAATACATTTTCTGACTAGCATGTACCTTAAGTGTGGTCTAATTTTTAATTTTTTATGATTATTGTTTTTTCTTGCAATGGATCCTTTCCATGTTTTAGTGAACTAATTTTAATAATGGGATGATTCCTACAGAGGTTGGACGCATTGGCATAGGCATTTGTTATGACATTAGGTTTCCAGAACTAGCAATGATATATGCAGCAAGAGGTACGTATTTTCCATTCATTTTCTCAGAAACTATGAATCTTGTTCCGCGTGTATTTGGTTGAAAGTGATTTTAGTTTTCCAATGTATTTCATTCATGCCTCTGAAGTTCTTTTACCATGATGGAGTAACAATATTTTTTCCTTTGTGATGAAATTGGTTCAGATACTTCAGTGTAATTCTTTTATTAGGGTTATACTAAAAGAAACTTAAAATTATTCTTTGGTATGATATTGCGTTCCCTTTATTATGTAATCTGTCAATTATGCATATAAGCTGTATAAGCTGTGAAGCCTGTAAACTTTGATTGAGATTAATTCTCTAGTTGAGTTGGTTATTTTTCAAACTTGCACTGCATCATTCTTATTATTTTTAATTGTTCTTTAGCTTTGGAGTGATAGAGTTAGTGCATTAGCAGTTCATTATCTGTTAGCTTTCTGTTTCTGTTACAGTTGTAACAGTTAGTTAGGGCCAGCTGTAACAGTTAGTTAGGGCTTTTCTGTTACAGCTCACTCTATATAATGAGTGTTATTGTATCTTCTTCATTATGCAATACAATGAGAATTTCCTAACTGTTTTCCCTAACTGCATTATGCAATTCTATCATGGTATCTAGAGCTTCTTTTTCGATCCAGTAGAAAGCTTCCATGGATTCTCTGTTTCCGTCGTCACATATCAAGCTTTCACATCTAATCTCTGTCAAGCTTGATGATAAGAACTTCAAGCAGTGGAAGCAACAAATCGATGGCGTTGTTCGCAGTCACAAGCTGCAACGATTTGTCACCGTGCCGGTGATTCTTCAATGCTTTCAGTCTGACTCTGATTCTGCACTTAACGGCGAACACCGCGTATCTTGATTGGGAGCAACAAGATGCGCTCATCTGTAAGTGGCTTCTATCCACCATCTCTGATTCGCTTCTTCCGAAGCTAGTGGACTGCAAACACTCATGGCAGGTGTGGACTGAAGTTCATCGCTACTTCAACACCTTACTCACCACCAAAGTGCGTCAACTTTGCTCAGAACTGCGTCGCCTCGCCAAGGGATCACTTACGATTGAGGAACTCATGGTTCGTGTTCGCGAAATCAATGAATCGCTGATTTTGGTTGGAGATCCTGTTCCTCTTTGTAACCTAATCGAAATCGTTCTTGATGCACTTCCTGAGGAATACGGCTCCATTGTTGCCGCTGTGAACAGTAAGGAAGAGCTAGGTTTGCTAGAGGAGCTTGAGTCGTCTCTTCTTGCGCATGAATCACGATTGGAGAAGCATCGCAAAGCTGTTATCACTGAACCAGCGTCGGTGAACTTGACGCAGGTTCCACCGTCACCGTCGCCGGCCACCACTGAACCGTCTAGCACTGGTGCCGAATCGTTTCCTCAAGGTACTAGTCATGTCACTGTTAACGCAGAGAATAATGGCTACAACGCACGTGGTGGTCGTTTTGGCCGTGGAGGTGACCGTTTTGGCCGTGGAGGAGGTCGTTTTAGCAAAATGCAATGTCAAATCTGCCACAAGGCTGGACATGATGCGTCAATCTGTTATCATCGTTATTCCAACTCCAATGCTGCCATGTTTTCCCCTCAGAGATCTTCCTTCAATCCATTCACGATGATTGCACGTCCCATGTATCCTGCCTCTTTTGGATATGCAGCTCCTAGATCAGCTCCTCCACGCTCTCCCATGCCTCAAGCTTTCATTGCAGGTTCAGATCCTAGTTTCAGCAATCAATGGTGGTATCCCGACTCAGGTGCGTCTCACCATGTTACTCCTGATGCTTCAAATCTATCTGATTCGATTTCAGTGCCTGGATCTTAGCAAGTGTTCATGGGAAATGGCCAAGGTTTGTCTATAAACTCTGTAGGTTCTATGCAATTTCCCTTACCTAACCATCCTAGCATGTCTTTCACCTTACACAATCTTTTACTTGTGCCTCATATCACCAAAACCTTATTAGTGTGAGTAAATTTGCTCAGGATAATCTTGTCTTCTTTGAGTTTCACCCTCAGTTTTGTCTTGTCAAATCACAGGCTTCATCTGAAGTTCTTCTTCGTGGCTTTGTTGGAGCTGATGGTCTGTACTAGTTTCCCAATCCAACTTCACAACTGTCCAAGTCCCTTAATACATGTGTTTCTTTGTCTTCTGATAAGTGTAATCTTAGCAACTTTGGGAATCATGTACTGAATCCACATGTTACATACAATTGTACTTCCTTATGTACTAATGATTCTTCTATGAATAAAACTAGTCCTGTTTGTCAATTGTCTCCTAATGTTAATGTTGCTACTTATGATATTGCTTCTCTTCTCAGCATGTTAATTTACCTACATCCGTAGCTACTAGCAAATATGTTTTGTGGCATACACACTTAGGACACCCTCACCATCATGCTCTTGCTGAAGTGTTGAAACTATGTCACCTTCCTATCCCTTCAAAACCCCCAGCTGAACTATGTGCTGCTTGCTATTTAGGCAAGTCTCACAGGCTTCCCACCTCCTTATCCACCACAGTGTATAATCAACCTTTTGAATTGGTTGTTTGTGATCTATGGAGTCCAGCTCCTATACAATCCTCAGGTGGTTATACTTACTTTCTAACCTGTGTTGATGCCTACTCTAGGTTTGTTTGGGCTTTCCCTCTTAGGCTTAAGTCTGACACTCTTACTCAATTTATTCAGTTCCAAAAGATGGTTGAACTTCAGTTTAATTGCAAAATTAAGAGTGTGCAGAGTGATGGAGGGGGTGAATTCAGACACTTTACTAAGTACCTCACTGAATTAGGCATGATTCATAGGTTTATATGTCCTCACACCCATCATCAAATGGTATAGTTGAACGCAAACATCGTCACATTGTGGAAACTGGTCTTACTTTATTAGCACAGTCCACACTGCCCTTAAAATTCTGGGATCATGCTTTTGTTACAGCAGCCTACCTTATCAATAGACTTCCTAGCCTTACACTTAATAACCGCTCCCCTTATTCCAAACTGCTTAACAAACCACTTGACTATTCAGTACTGAAAGTGTTTAGCTGTTCTTGTTTTCCCTTCCTTCGTCCCTATTATTCTCACAAACTTGATTATAGGTTTCAGGAATGCATATTCCTAGGGTATTCTACTGCTCATAAAGGGTACAAATGTCTTGCTTCCAATGGTCATATCTACATCTCTAAAGATGTACTTTTCATGAATCTAAATTCCCTTATTCCTCCATGTTTTCACCCTCTTCTCCCATTGCTTCCAATTCTGCTCCTTCCACTACCTCATCCTGGTTTGTGCTAGCTAGCTCATCAGCTTCTCTCCCTATTCAGCATGTCAGCCCTACTCTCTCTGCCAATACTGTCAATTCCAATGCTGCCAATACTGTCAATTTCAATGCTGGTTCCATTTCCTCACCTGGCCCTTCCAGCCCTATTGTGCCACCTGTTATGTCTAGCTCTCCTGCTTCCTCTTCCCAGTCTACTGTTTCTCCTGGTCTTATACTCTCAGATCTAGCTGAAGCCAGCACCATATCACCTTCATCTTCCCTTGATACTACACCTACTGCCAGTCCTGTTCCTGTTACATCTCAACCTGTCATTAATCCTCTCAATGTCCATGCAATGCAAACTAGAGTCAAAAGTGGTATTTCTAAACCTACCACTATTAGTCAGGCCTTGACTGCTCCTCATTGGTTTCAGGCAATGAAAGATGAGTATCAGGCTCTTTTGAGGAATCAGACCTGGACTTTGGTGTCACCATCTGTTTCCAGAAAATCTATTGGTTGCAAATGAGTTTTTTGTGTCAAAGAAAATCTTGATGGGTCCATTAACAAGTATAAGGCCAGGCTAGTGGCCAAGGGTTTCCATTAGCAAGCTAGAAGTGATTTTACTGACTTTCTCACCTGTTGTGGAGCCTGTCACAGTCAGAATTGTTTTGACTCTTGCTGTTACTCACAGGTGGACAATTCAGCAAATTGATGTTAACAATGCTTTCCTCAATGGCACTCTTGAAGAGGAGGTGTTTCTGCAGCAGCCACCTGGATTTGAGGCTCCTGACAAATCTCTTATATGTAAGTTGAATAAGGCAATTCATGGATTCAAACAGGCACCTAGGGCCTGGTTTGACAAACTCAAAAGTGCCTTACTGCAGCAGGTATTTCAAGCTAGCAAATGTGATTCCAGTCTGTTTCTGCTCCACACTGGCAGCCTCACTATTATGATCTTGGTTTATGTTGGTGATATAATCATCACTGGGAATTCTGCTCCTTTCATTACATCTCTGATCAATAATCTCAATGCTGCCTTCTCTCTTAAACAGCTGGGTAAACTGGACTATTTTCTGGGAATTGAAGTCACTCATCTACCTAATGGCTCTTTGCTTCTCTCCCAAATTAAATACATCAGTGATTTGTTAGCCAAAGTTAACATGACTAATGCAAATGGCATGCCCACTCCAATGGTTTCCAGCAGCAAACTGTCCAAAGTTGGCTCCAATGAAGTTTCTGATCCCACTCAGTTCAGGTCTGTTGTTGGTGCTTTGCAATATGCAACCATAACAAGACCTGAAATCTCCTTTTCTGTGAATAAGGTCTGTCAGTTTCTGTCCAATCCATTGGAGGAACATTGGAAGACTGTCAAAAGAATATTGAGGTATTTAAGTGGCACTCTTCATCATGGACTTCTCATTCAGCGTACACCTGCTCAGCAGCCTTTGACTTTGCTTGGTTTCTGTGATGCTGATTGAGCATCTGATCCGGATGAAAGACGGTCTACCTCAGGGGCATGTGTTTTTCTTGGTCCTAATGTTGTGTCTTGGTGGTCTAAAAAGCAACAGTTAGTGGCCAGATCAAGTGCAGAGGCAGAATATCGTAGCATGGCCCAACTAGCTGCTGAAATAATCTGGATTCAGTCACTTCTTAAGGAACTGCACTGCCAGTTTCAAACTTCAAAGATCTTGTGCTACAATCTAAGTACAGTCACTCTAGCTCTTAACAAGAGTCTTGTTGTGGCTCATGTTCCAGTTCAGGATCAATGGGCAGATGCTTTAACTAAGCCTCTATCTGCAGTAAAGTTTCTTCCTCTTCGTGAATAAGCTAAGGGTGTTTAACAAACAAAGTCTGCTTAGGACACCCTCCACTTCTAAGGGGGAATGATAGAGTTAGTGTATTAGCAGTTCACTATCTGTTAGCTTTCTGTTTCTGTTACAGTTGTAACAGTTAGTTAGGGCCAGCTGTAACAGTTAGTTAGGGCTTTTCTGTTACAGCTCACTCTATATAATGATTGTTATTGTATCTTCTTCATTATGCAATACAATGAGAATTTCCTAACTGTTTTCCCTAACTGCATTATGCAATTCTATCCTGGAGAACTTACAGTATTCATCTTTTAACTTCAGGTGCACACTTGATCTGCTATCCTGGGGCTTTTAACATGACAACTGGACCATTGCATTGGGAGTTATTGCAGAGATCAAGGTAACAAATACAATGTAATGGTCATTTGAGAACCTGAAGCAAATACTATAGTATGGATTCTTTGAAATTTTATATCCTTATATGGTTGATTTTAAAATATAAAATAAAAATGGTTTCCAAAATGCTAGTTGTTCCTGAATAATGTGCTTGTAGAATAGAAAAAAAAAGTATTTTGTTTAAAGGTTTTCATGGTGCAAACTATGTAAGTTGAAATGCAGCAACAGGAACAGAGGAACAAATCAGAATACACAAAATGGAGATAATAAATTGAAATGCCGCAACAGCTAAAAACAACCAGTGCCAAAATAACAGGCTGTCGTATTAGCCTCAGTTACATCAATCATATTAGACTGATAGTTCACTGAACCATATATAATTTGCAATAGGAATTTTGTACCAATATGACCTTTGTTGTAGGAACAATAAGAAACTTATGATCATACTTAGCAGTCAGAATATATAATGGTGTCATTTTATTCTCTGTTTTTCTCCCATTTACTCATCTTGACTACTCCTTATCTTTGGCGCTAGAAACTTGTAATTTTGTTTTTGAAGATGTTGATTAAACAAAAATGACTGATCTACATTCCAGTTCTAATGTGTTTTTTGCTTTTTCACATGCAGGGCTACAGATAATCAGGTAATGGCCCTAAAATTTTGAAACTTCTGTGTATTTTTCGTCAAAGTATACCAACTCTAAATATCATTTATTTGATTTGTGGAGTTCATGATCTGTGAGCCAAATAAATGATCTTAAATAAGAAGTTTCAAGTTGGGGAATTATTTACCCTGGATAAGAAATCGAGAAAAGAAACAATCAAACCTAAAACCCCTTAGTAATTTGGCATGAATGTGTTATAAATTTTAGAAAGCAGGTACTCCTCTATATTTGTTCTCTGATTTTTCCGTCTAGATTGACGTATTTATAGATGAGCCAGCCATATATGTTGGAGAGACTGCATGGCTCCCACACATCTCAAAGGGAAAACAATAGTAGAGTTGGGATTGGGAAAAGTTATTTTCCTTAGTATTTTACAGTTGAATTGTTGGGATTGGTGAAGTTGATTGTGTGATTAAAGCAGGCTTGTATAGGGGTCTCTTCCCATGGGATTTTACAGTTGAATTGTTGGGATTGGTGAAGATGATAGCGTGTTTAAAGCAGGCTTGTAGTTAGGGGTCTCTCTCCATATTATAACCATAGATTAGTGTGAATTGCAAAGTTTTATGCTCTGAGAAAGACAAGTGAATGCTTACAGAAATTCATTTCCTACAGCTATATGTGGCAACCTGTTCACCTGCCCGGGATAATGGACCTGGTTATGTGGCTTGGGGTCACTCCACTCTTGTTGGTCCAGTAAGTATCTCCTTTATGTTTAGTTTTCCTTTGATATTATTGCTAGTTAAATGTAATGATTATGCACATTGATATTATTGTATGTTCTATCTTTAATAGACATTAAGTCACACCAACTTACTGTGAAACATATGAATGTGGCAGTTTGGGGAAGTTCTGGCTACTACAGAACACGAGGAGGCAATCATTATAACAGAAATTGATTATTCAATATTGGAGCCGAGAAGGTTTACTTTCCTTCAAACTATAATATCCTGCTCATGTATAACATGTGGTTGCCAGTGATATATCAATTAATCATTTTAAAACATTATTGTGATTTGATTACTCAGGACAAATCTCCCTGTGACTAAGCAACGAAGGGGTGATCTTTACCAGTTGGTAGATTTGCACAGACTGAATTCCCACTGAATCAAACGGCCGTTCTAAAATTGAGACATCTGCATAATTACACCTTGTAAGAAGCATGGGCATGCCATCTTTTGTGGTCGTTGAATGCTGTATTATTGATGATATGAAACCCAAACTCCTGACTGCAGAAATAAATAAAGGAATCTGAACTTACAATAATTGTTTGGTGTGTTGTTAATAGTGATCATGGTTACTAGCATTTGTTAAATAGGAAGTTAGACATTGCTTGGCCTGTGAGAAAATATATTAACATGGCCTATGAGCGGTATGTTATCACTTGTTTTTTTATGACATGAATTGCATCGTCTTTATGATCAATGATTCCACTATAAGGAACCGGTTATATGTACCACAGCTGCCATATTCACAGGCCAAAATGGATTTAAGGTTCTGAACTTACAATTTGCAATTGCATCCTTTGGAGGATGCTTGCACAAGTTGTGAATAAACTCTTGATGTGATGATTCTGTTTTAAATATACTACCCCTTAAATTTGACAAAATGTGTATCATACTGCCAAGTTAGTAGACTCATGCATCTTGCATCATTCAGATTTCAGGAGATTTCAGGGATAGGCTCATATGTTGTTAATAGGCCAAACAACTATTTGTTGCTATACTGGAGAAATTTTAAGCCGGAGTGGTGTTGAATATATTAGCAACATACTCTTTAACCTATATTTTTTTTAGAATTTCTTAATGCACCTATATTTTTCGAGAATTTCTTAATGCATCCTAGATTTTTTTATTGCACCACGTGAATTTCTACAAATATCTTTTGTTTTTGGAGATGTATCTTCGGTCACATCACTTGTGCACTCAAGTAAGATCATTTTGAGAGGAGTCTCCTATGTTGAGTTATTTTATTCCAGAGATGCATCTTTAGAACATTTTAAGAAATATCTTAATTATTTAGCAGTTAAGTAGAAATTTCGGAGATAGAACTTCAAAAATATGGGCTACATTTTAAAATTTTCTGTCACCTTTACATGTAAGATATTTCTGGAGATGCATCTTCGAAAATATCTGATAAAGAAATCAGTTGCATGATCACACATCCATTGTTGACATACTTAGTTTTCAACCAAACCCTTTACCCTAAAAATCCTTCATTTTCAACCCATTTTTTAACTCCAAATCTCCATCATTTTGGTTCATCACATCATAGGGAGTAAAATAAGATAGAATTTCAGATAAACATTTTTCTTTTTCCTCTGCATTGCTCACATTAATCTTTCATTTTTTCTGAAAAAAATTACGTCATTCTGCAGCACCAGTAGTAGCGCTTATGTTCTGTTATTGTTTTAACTGTTTTTATTAGATATGGTGCATCTTGATGTTTTTCCAAAACAAATTGTTTCTCCGAATGTTTAAGGTTTTCTTGTGAAAGCGGTAGATATTGGCAACGACTTTAAAAACAAGCAAGAGTTTGAATCTCGTGATAAAATGTTTCAATGGATTCATATGGAGCCTCTAAACTTGGATTTGGTGTGGTTATCGGTAGGTCCGATAATGGTTCGGATAGAAGATGCGCCTTTGTGACAACGATGTGCGAAAAAACGGGAAATATCAAACTCCTCTTTGGAATTTTAAAAGAGACGACATATGTACAAGAAAATGTGAGTGTTCGTTCAAGGTTTGTGGTTACATATTGTCAAACAAAAATTGAAGATTTAATGTGATATGTGGTTTGTATAACCATAATTTGTATTTAAAATTAGCCGGTCATCCCACCGTCTGTCGGCTCAAGCCGGAAGAGAATGAATGTGTTCCAGACATGACTTTGAATCTTGTTCAACTGAAAAATATACTTGCAACATTGAAACGGAAACGACTTGACAATATATCAAATATCAAGAAAGTGTATAATATTCGGTACTTCACTAATAAGGCGCATAGGGGGAATAGAACTGAGATGCAACAATTCTTGAAACTGTTGGATGATAACAGTTATGTGTCTAGGTACCGAACATGCGGTGATGGAGTTACTATTAGAGATATTTTTTGGACTCATCGTAAGTCTATAAAATTGTTCAACACGTTTTCTACGGTGCTCATACCTGATTCAACCTACAAGACCAAAAAGTATAAACTTCCATTATTTGTGATGGTTGGTGTTACCTCAACTGAGAAGACATACTCTATTGGTTTTACATTTCTTGAGTGTGAAAAAGAGGATAATTTAACTTGAGCATTAGTGGTGTGTCAGTCACTTTTGAAGGTCCAAGGTGAGATGTCTAAAGTGATTGTTACCGACTGCGATACCACATTGATGAGAAGTCGGGTTAAACCTAGAGGTGACAATTAAATCCATTAAGGCAAAATCCATCCAATCCATCCATCAAAAAATCCATCCAATCCATCCACCACACAAAAAATAAGTTAATGGATTGGATTAAATCCATCCATTTATATGCATGGATGGATTCAATCCATCCATTTATATGCATGGATTGATTCAATCCATCCCACATATTTTAAGGATCCAATGGATTATTTTTATTTTCGTTAGATTTATTTTTTTAAAATTAGATTTTTTTTAAAATAATTAAAAAACTATATATTTTTTTTTGAAATTTTTTTTTTAATTTTTTTGAAAAAAAATCTATTTTTTTTTTCAGAACAAAAAACTGATTTGTTTTTCGAAAAAAAAACGACTTTTTTTTTTGGAAAAAAAATCAGTTTTTTTTCAGAATAAAAAACTGATTTGTTTTTCGAAAAAAAAAATTTCTCGAAAAAAAAGCCGACTTTTTTTTTGGAAAAAAATCGGTTTTTTTTCAGAATAAAAAACTAATTTGTTTTTCAAAAAAAAAACCGACTTTTTTTTTTGGAAAAAATCGGTTTTTTTTTTCAGAATAAAAAACTGATTTGTTTTTCGAAAAAAAAAACCGACTTTATTTTTGGAAAAAAAATCAATTTTTTTTTCTGAAAAATCGGTTTTTTTTTTCAGAATAAAAAACTGATTTGTTTTTCGAAAAAAAATAAATTTTTTTCTCGAAAAAAAAACCGACTTTTTTTTTGGAAAAAAAATTAGTTTTTTTTTTCAGAATAAAAAACTAATTTGTTTTTGAAAAAAAAATTATTTTTACGAAATTAAAAAAAAAAGTTGGATGGATGGATATCCATCCATTAAAAATATGTTAATGGATGGATTGGATGGATTTTATTTTTAATGGATGGATTGGATGGATTTTATTTTTAATGGATGGATCGGATTGGATAATTTTAATAAAATTTTAGTGGATTTTAATGGACTAATGGATTGTTTTAATCCATCCATTAGCAATCCAATCCATATCCATCCAATCCATCCATTTTGCCACCCCTAGTTAAACCCGCAGTAGGGATGAAACAAATAGACTCCGAAGATGGAAAATGGTGAAGGTGGGTGTGGTTGTGAAAAAAAATAATGGATGCATGAAATCGTATAATAAATTCTTCCACAAAAGAACTATATGCCGATTATGTTATTCATTTCAAGAAAGTGTGTGAAAAGTATCCAGATTTGTTGGAATATATTTGATCGTACCTGATCAGAAGAGATTATTGACTAGCCATGCGTTGTCGATCTGAAAGCTGCTCACCGGAGGTAGGGAGGAGGAGTGGGGTGTACCTGCAAGACACTCTGATGCTTAAGTGAGTAAAAAACCAGAGTGGGAGCAAATACAGAAGTTAGGTGTAGAGAATGGAATACCTGACCCTCTAGTGAAAAAGTGTATTTATAGTGAGACCCCAGTGCAAGGCCAACAGTCACTTGTGTTGGGCTGGATTGCCATGCCCAACCCAAGTGACTGCTAGGGCTTACGTGGCGTAGTGAAGACCAACACGTGGTCTTCGCCCTAATTCAACTGTCCCGTGATCTCCGGAAGGTGGGCTGACCAACTCTTTTGGAGGTGGGTAGTTGCCTGATGATGTGTCCCTGCGGGGGGAGCACGTGGAGAACGTGGGGAAGACATGTTGTTCTGCCCGACGAAAAAGATGTCTGCCCAGCGTGTTTGGAACCGTGCCCGACTTTGGGGGATTTGGGCCTTGTTGGACCTTCCCCACACCGCGTTAGGCTGGGCCTGCCCGATGGATGGGCAGGTGTGGGCCCACTCCAGAACAGGAGCCCCCAAGTCGTAGCTCCGATGTGAAGGAGCAATGACTTGATGATAACTGCGTCGGAGACGAAGAAGGACGAGGATGAAGCTTCGCTGGACTACCGTGTCGAGGACACTAGGAAGCGAGGATCTTGAGCTTGTCAGGCTATCAGGTCGAAGAGGTGGAAGATTGTCAGACGCCTGCTTGCCCGTGTTCGAATGGGAGAACGAAGGGACGTGACCATTCGTGGTGGCCACGTGTCTGACACCCATTGTTCCACTTAGGGCGGCTATTTTAGGGCACTCGAGTGCCTAGGGGCGCTTCGAGTCCCGTGTTTATAAATAGGCAGGTGGCTGCCCTTTTTCCATTTTTCGACTCGCTCACTATCGTACGTGATATTTGGATCTCCCGTACACGCAGTGTCGCGCAGTACCGCCACCGTATCGTCTGCCGTGCATTCCGCCGTCTCTACTATACCCAGTAAGTTTTCTACTTCTTCTCTTCCGTTTTCTTAATTTCGACGTCCTCTGTTGTGGATATGATGAATGTCCCGAGGAGAGTGTGGGTTCTCCGGCGAATACGGAGGGATCCCTTTGACCTGGGATGAAGGTCCCGAGGTCACCAAAGGCATTAGGATGAATGTCCCGGGGACAGATGATAGGGTATGGGTGAACTCCCTGGGACGTAGAATATGGCTAGATGAATACCTCGAGGACGTAGGTTAGGGTTAGATGAACGCCCCGGGGAAGTAGGACCGGGTTAGATGAACGTCCCAGGGACGTAGGATATCTCCAGATGAATATGTCGGAGACGTTTGCAGTTGGCGCGCGGTCGTGTTGCCGTCGAGGAGGAGTCTGAGTCGTCGTCGTCTCCCTCGCCCTTTCACTTGATTTATGGTGGAAGGGTGAATTTGATCTTGAA